GGGGGATGGCGCTGTAAAGGTTTTAAGGTTTGTCATTCCCCCAGCTCACTGCGTTTCTCTTCCCTCTACCAGACTGATCGGCCACACTCCTTCTTACTGTGATGAGTCGCTGTTCGGCTCCCGACCCAAGGGTGCCAGCTGGCAGGCCCCGTGGATGGCGAAGGGGGATACTGCGAAACTCCACGCCCTCTTCTGGACACCCCCAGCTACCCCTAGGGGCAGCCACTCGCCCCGCCCCAGAGAGACCCCAGTTCGAGCCATTCACCCTGCTGGTCCCTCGGAGACAGGGCCCAGGGTGGCTGCAGACTCCCGGAAGTTGTCCAGGGATGGGCTGGACCCTCCACACCCCCTGAGGCGGGAGCGTTCCCATTCCCTCACCCACGTGAAGGTCCCCAGCACTGGTCGCCCACCCACCAGTGCCCCCCGTGCAAATGGGCCCCGGGATCCCAGGCCTTCCCCGTCGGGGGTGACCTTCCAGAGCCCCCTGGTGACTCCCAGGGCTCATTCAGTCAGTGTTTCAGTGCCAGCTACCCCCCGACAAGGTGGGGCCACCCAGAAACCAAAGCCCCCCTGGAAGTGAGTTTCTTGGTTCTTCCATCAGGTTTGCCCATGGGGTCAAAGCGAGGGGCACGGTTTCAGAGGACGGCCCTGGAGGGGGGCCTCTGGGGAGACCAGAATCTCCTAGGTACGCACCAGGCATTGGAGAAGCGCTCACGGGGGCTGTCAAAGCGAGGGGGGCAGTGTCTCCCTCTATTCTGACATTCTGTAGTTGCTCCCTGCGCCCCCACCCCCATGTGGATTTGAGGGGCCCCTGAGATGCCTGTCTCCAGTCCTGTCACAGCCACGTGCTGTATCAGTGCCAACCCAGGGGTGCCCCCCGAGGGGCTACACCTCTCCCATCACTCCCACAACATCGTCTTGCTGCCAAGTGTGACTAATGCTGTGACCGCCAACCTGGAGGTTCCTTGTTCCTCCCTTCCAGCCAAGCTTCCTGCTCAGGACTAGTGTCCAGCTGAGCCTGGAGGCCTCAGGAGTTTTCCCAGGCACAGCGTGTGGACCATGGGGACACAAGGATCTGGGTGATATGTGGGGGGACATTTTTTAATTTAAATCCTTGTGTATTTATTTTCATATATTAAATATATCAGTAGCTCATCAAAGCCATGACTTTTACTAATTCCTTTTTCCTTAGGGTAAAGGCCAATGTTAGGCCTGAGTTGATTTAAATACCAAAGTTAAATAATCTAACAAGGAAGTGGCAGAAATCATGACAGCGGTGAGCTGGTGATGGAGTTCAGGAACGCAGGCATCAAGCAGCACTGGGCTTCTCCTCCCATCCATTTCCAGCTAATGCCACTAACTAGTGGGTCAGGTAGTTCTTCCGGAGCTCAGAATGTGGTCTAGGGCTCCTTATGTTGTTTTGTTTTGAAATCAGATATATATATATATATATATATATATATACACACACACACACATTTCCCACCTTTTCAAAAAAAACACAGTGACTAGGACTGTGCCAAGTGGAGGGGTCCAGGAAGGCCAGCAAGTTCCACATGCAGCTGGAGAGCACTCAGGCTGCCGGCCTAAGCGGGTGGGCGGGCCTTCCTCTCCTGCTCTGTTCTTGGCTGCACCACCTTGGGCCAGGTCGCTTATGAGAAACAGCAAAGCCTTTGTTCAGGTGGAGCCTCGCCCGGAACCGCAGCAGGCTGGTGGATTTGGGTGGGGGCCGGCTCTGGGCCTCTGTGTCCCCGTTGTCCCCTGACGCGCCTCCAGGAAGCACCGGGATCCCATGGAGCCCGGTTGGAAGCCACATCGCTGGTTCTGCACCTTCTCTGCCCTGGGGAAGGGAAGAGCGGACACTTCCGGAGAGCAGCCTGGGAGGGAGCAGGGAGGCACATGCAGACATCCACCCAGGTCAGGCAGGTAGCGAGGGGAGTAAGCCAGCTGCACTCTTGGTACAAACACATTTTGCTTTTTAAACATGTAGGATGTTTAAATTTTCTAGAACTTGCACCAAGAATTACTTTTCTCCCTCCTTAGTTTTACTTGAAACATCTTGCTCTCATTTGCCTTTATCCCCTCCCCACGTAAGCAGACATGGGCCGGAAATCTCTCTCTTGCTTCCCAACTATACGTCAAGAGAAGCAACAAAGCACAAGTGTGATGATGGGCAACTGACACGAGGCCGTGGTGTCTGGAAGGCAGTTGGGAGTGGTGGGGACTGGGGCAACCCACCTTGCTGCCATCTAAGGGGTGCTGCTGCTCAGCTCTAGATGTGCAGCCCTGGGGTATCTGGATGATGAGATTTCTCCAGAAAAGGCAGAAAGCTGGATTTCTGTGACAGCCCCTGATTTTTTAAATGTCAGCAATGAATTAAAAAAATACATTGTTCAGCTACCTGGGCTCCAAATAAAGCCAATGTGAGGCTGCTGGTGTAGGCCCTCGGGCTTCCTGAGCATTTATGGCGCTGGATCTGGGAGAGATTGCGGACCAATTGATAGTCCCAGAGCAGGGGCCAAGGGAGCCTACAGCCCTGTTCCTCCCGGAGTTCTCGGCCTGCCCTGCACCCCGTGCCGGCAGCTGTGACCCCCACCCCGCTGCCCTGGGGGTGATGTGTCCATCATGGGCATGGCAGCTTCTAGTCTGGGACCAAGGGGGCTGTGGCCTGGGGTCTGGCTTCCCACTGAGGCTAAAGGAAGGAACGGGTATGTGTCGACACCCCGGCCTGGGTGCTCCCCTCATGGAGACGGCGTCTGCAAGCACGGACACGCACACAGCCAGCAGCCCTGGGTGCAGTGAGCTTTATTTGTAGGATGTGGTTTAAAGTGGGTTTTCATTTTGAAAAAGCGTTACAGCTATGAATTACAGGGCTCCCCATCCTGGTGGCTTCCTGGCCGGCTCTCTGGGAGGTGAGGGGCGTGGTGAGTGCGCGGGGGCGGGGTGGGGCTGGGAGGCTCATTTCTTGCTCTTGCCCTTCTCCTTGCCCTTCTTCTCCTTGCCCTTCTTCTCCTTGCCCTTCTTCTCCTCGCCCTTCTTCTCCTTGCCCTTCTTCTCCTCGCCCTTCTTCTCCTTGCCCTTCTTCTCCTCGCCCTTCGCTTTGCCCCTGCTCCACTTCCTCCTCCTGGACCTGAGCACGGAGCGCACCAGGTAGCCCTTCCACACGGCCTGGATTATGGTGGCGGCCCGCACCATGCGCACCAGCTCCTGCTGGGCCTCCACCCTCTTCCTGGTGTTAAACTCCTGCTCCTCCCGGATCTGGGCGAACTCTGCCACCAGCACCTCGTGCCTCTTCTTCAGCTCCTCCAGCTGGGCCTTCTCCTCCTTGTGGATGGCGTCCAGCTCCTCGTACTCATCCTGCCGTGAGGGTCAGGGAGTGGCGGTCACCAGGCACAGAGCGTTGCCTGCCACCCTCCTCTGCACAGCCCCCCCGCTTCCCAAAGGGGCTGACAATCCTACACCAGGCCTTTCCGCACCGAGGCCCAGATGGGAGTGAGAGGTGATGCGGTCCACCCTAGCTCAGGGTGGGACCCGACTGAAGTAACTGCTGGAAAGAGGAAAGGACACAGCTCATGGGGTGGGGGACTGGGTTTCAAATCCTTTCAAGCCTTCATTTTTCCTCATCTGAAACATGGGGACAATTCCAAACCCAGGAGCGGGGGTGGGAGCTGTTTCCAGGATTAAATGGCAGGATGGACACCTCATGCTGGATGTGGTGCCAGGCACATGATGGGGACATAAAAAATGCCAGCTGCTGCCATTGAAGATGTCCGTGTCACAAGACACCCAGAGTAGAACTTTCTCAGGTGACTGAGTCCCTCAGTTCCTCCTGATATCTAACCGCAGTTTCTCCTGCTGTGATTTACATCCATCTCCCTCCTTCCCTTCCACTAACGTTTACCAAGCATCTACCAGAAGCGAAGCGCTTCCAGTGGACATGGAGCTGAGTAGACTCAGTCTGCCGACGAGGAACCCACCACCCTCACTGGGACCAGAGGAACGAGGGCAGAGCCTCCCAGTCCCCCCTCCCTGGAGCACTCACCATCAGACAGAGCAAGGCCCTGACTTGCCCTTCTCTGAACACACACCTGACTTCGGACACTCAAAGGCTGAGGTCACCTCCAATGCTCGCCAGGCCTTCCTGGCCCTGAAGTCAGGGCTGTGGACCACTGATGTTATCACAGAGCTGGGGGGAGGGCTTGAGGGCACCCAATTTTGTAGGCTACCATTCCCTGAGCACCTCCTCCAGGCCAGCTCCTGTGCTGGGGACAAGCTGTCATGACAATGGGGCCTCACTGAATCCCACCATGGGCCCAGCACGGGCATTACCGCCTCTGTTGATCAGATGCAGAAGCGGGCTTAGAAAGGTCAAGTTCCTTGCCTAAGGTCATACCGCTGGTAAATGACACTAGAGAAGAGCCTCCAAATGATAATGGGGGCTCTCTTCCCGGCTGTACCCCAGCACGTGGCACGCCCCAAGCACTCAGTGGAAACTTTCTGAGTGATGAGTGAAGTGGTGGAGGCAAGCTCATGCCGAGTCTGTGGGGGACGCGCCCTGGCAGTGGGGGTGCAGGCAGGAGCTGAGCTAGGAGGGAACAGAGTATGGGATGTGGACGCTAGATGGAGCCAAGATCGTGGGGCCCAGTGTCAACCACTTAGTGGCTCACAGCTTCCGGCTCCTTCCTATCCCACCTCTACCCCTGCTGTCCCAGGCAAGACAAACCCTTGAGCCTAAGGAAGGGGCTGGGAAGCCTCTCTGGGGAGGCCCCGAACTTGGCACAGACCATGGACCATCCTAGGGCTTCTCCTCCCACCCCCCATCCCCAGAGGATCTTGGGAAATACACGGGAGAGACACTTATGCGGCGACAAATACCTGCTTTTCACTCATCTCCATGTCATACTTCTGGATCCAGTTCTCGATTTCCGTCTCCACTTTATATTTCTTCTAAAAAAATTCAGGTAGTCATGGTTCGATGGACTAATATCAACAATAACAGCACCGAGGGCCCTCTGCATCAGCAGGCCCCAGAGTGCGTGCTGGAGACGCCCCGCCTACTGAATCCACACAACCAGGTCAGCTCTCCTCTATTTCACAGGTGAGGAAACTGAGCATCGGACACGTTCACCCACTTGCCCAAGATCAGAGAGCTGATGGGCAGTACAACCTGGATCTGAAGCCAACAGTCTGGCTCCAGAATATTCTAGGCAGAGGGAGCAGCCAGTGCCAAGGTTCCTGAGGCAGCAACAAGCTTGTGGTGTTTAAAGAACAGAAGTTGAGCCAGTGTGGCTGGAAAGAAGAGGCCCAGGAGGAGTGTGGCCCCAGTGAGGTCAGAGCAAGAAGCCAGAAGCCGAGTTACAGAGGGAGCGTCAGCTGGGGAAGGAGCTCGGACGCTGGTGTGAAAGAGAGGGGGAGCACTGGTGGATTCAGATGCAGTGGAGGGACTTGATCTAATTTTGTTTTTAAAAGATCAGCTCCATCCATACAACGGAACGTTATTCAGCCATAAAAGGGAATGAAGTGCCAATAAATGCTACAAGGATGAACCTTAAAGACGTGTGCCAAGTGAAAGAAGCCAGTCACAAAAGGCCGCAGATTGTGGGATTCCATTTATACGGAGTGTCCAGAACAGGCAAATCCATAGAGACAGACAGTGGATTAGTGGGTGCCGGGGGCTGGGAGGAGGGAGAGATGGGGAGGAGAAACTGCTTAATGGGTACAGGGTTTTATTTTGAGGTGATGAGAATGTTCTGGAACTAGATAGAGGTGGTGGTTGCACAACATCGTGAATGTGATAAATGCCACTGAATTGTTCAGTTTAAAATGGTTCGTTTTAGGGCTGGCCCCGTGGCTTAGCGGTTAAGTGCGTGTGCTCCGCTGCTGGCGGCCCGGGGTTCGGATCCCAGGCACGCACCAACGCACCGCTTCTCCGGCCATGCTGAGGCCGCGTCCCACATACAGCAACTAGAAGGATGTGCAGCTATGACATACAACTATCTACTGGGGCTTTGGGGGAAAAAAATAAATAAAAATTAAAAAAAATGGTTCGTTTTATGTTACGTGAATTTCACCTCAATTAAAAAAAAAATCAACTACCTAGTCCTACAGTCCAAGAGTTCTTAACTCGGGCACCACGGCTGGGCTGGCTGCAGGGGGCCTGTGACCCCCAGGAACTGCCCACCAGTACGTATATGCACATTTGTACCTTTTGATGCCCGCGTGCCCTCCTCTCCGCCCCTGCCCTGCCCCGTGGCTCCACTGCCCCACCGCCCCGCTTCCCAGGGCACCTTCCTCAGCGCCTGCTCCGCCGCCCGGTTCTCCGCAACGAGGCTGTGCAACTGCGAGCGCAGCTGCAGGATCTCCTGCTGGATCTTCGCCACCCTGGCCTGCGAGGCCCGGAAGGCCGCCTTCTGCTGCTTCTCGGCCTCCTGCTTGGTGCGGAGCAGGCTGCTCTCCGAGAACTTGAGCACCTGGTGCAGGTGGTTCTTCAGTTCTTGGATCACGAAGTTCTCCTTCTCCACCTGGGCCAGGACGAGGAGAGGCTCCACTAATACCCACGGGATCCCCGAGAATCACAGACCCCTCCGAGAACCCTCGATTGCACACTCCCTGAGGGCGGGGCAGGCTACCTGCCTTACTACCTCCCGAATCCTACCCCCAACCCCCTGATGGGGACAGGGACAGCCTGACTACTGACATTGAGGCTCGAGGGGGTCAGGTCGTCTGTCTAGGGGGGTGCAGCGGAGCCAGGATTTGAAGTCTGATCCGGAGCCCATGTTCTTGGCATGCCCCTCTATTTCCTGGCCTGAGTGAAGGGCACAGGTGGGCAAAGCGAGGCCACAGGAGAGGCCTGGGACAGCAGCGACCCTCCCGCCCAGGGCACAGCGGGGGAGTGCCCAGTTGGCAGAGACACTGGCACGATGCAGGAAGGTGTGAAATAAACATACACCGCAGGGACTGCCACTGGCTCTCCGTGGGGGCCTGGCTTGTCCCCTGCCCTCCGACGGTCCTAAAACAGGAATGGGGGAGGAGGATGGGGCTGTTTCAGAAGTAGGCTGCAAAGGCTGATCACAACACTCGAGTCTCCTTCTGAACATAGCGGGGCTGTGACTTCAGGGGGCTCATGCCGGGGGCTTCAGGCTGGGGTCAGCTGGCAGCAGGGAGCAGGAAGGAAGGGCGCCCTCTGGGCAAGCCTATCCTGTGGGCACAGCCCCTGCTCTAGGTGTTGGCTTGTAGAGCAGACGGTATTGTTAGCAGTCAGAGCTCTTCTTGGGGACCCCACATGCCTGATTGGGGTCACCTCCTCCTTTAAACTGAGGTCCAATGGCATGATGAAATTTGCAAAAATGGAATTTGACCCCAGATCTGTGCAACTTGGAAGCCCCAAGCTGGTTCCACCACCTGAATGGGACCAGCAAAGCCACTTGGGGCCCTCTCCTTGTCCCCAGGTGACATCTCTCCAATCCATGAGTGGCCTGCCCTGACTGAGCGCCCAGGAGCCTGTCATCTCGCCACTCAGCAGATAGTTACCATGACGCCCTTTTGTGCCAGTTTCCCAGGGACACAATGGAGGGCCACTGTCCTCTCGTGGGGGAGTCAGACCCAAATCAAATATTACATTTATTTATTGTGTGAATAATCACACAAATATTTATCAACAAACTGGTGAATGCCTTAAAGCACAATCAGTAGGAATGTAAGGAAGAGGGTACCGCGCCAGCCAGTGTGTGGGGGAGGGCAGGCGGCACGTGGCTTCCAAGGGCCTTGACCTCACATCCATCACAGGGGGATGAGAACGGATGTGCCTGTGGGAGCACTGGCTGGCCGTCCCCCAGGGTCTATTCTCCCCGGAAAGGTTGGGGAGCAGAACGTTTTGCTGGGAATGCGGCCCCCACTACAGACCACCTTTCCCAGCATCTCTGGCCACTGGGTGTTGCCATGAACTGCACCTAAAGGGCAGGACCAAGCCCCCTCTGCCCCTTCACTCCTTCCTGCTGGCGGGACCAGTGGCGCCATGATGGGGAAAGCTGGAGCAGCCTTCTGGGTCCAGAGTTAGAAGTCCCATGTGAGGGACAGCGAGAAGCCAGACGGAAGGAGCCTGGACCCCCGACAGTTTTACGAAGCAGAGCTTCCATGCCAGCTTCAGCTTTTCCGTTAGAGAGAAATACATTTCCATCTTGACTAAGCCACTATTATTTTGGGTCTCTGTGTTAGTAGCCAAACCTACACTTATACATCACCTCACAGGGACTTTGCAAGACTTTAGTGAGAAAATGTATGTAAAGCGTTAATACATAGTATGTGTCTCAAAACGGTTATCATTACGCCGGGATCATGTTATCGTTTCCCTTCTTAAAAATTCTTCTGGGGGCCGGCCCTGTGGCTTAGCGGTTAAGTGCGTGCGCTCCGCTGCTGGTGGCCCGGGTTCGGATCCTGGGCGCACACGGACGCACCGCTTCTCGGGCCATGCTGAGGCCGCATCCCACATACAGCAACTAGCAGGATGTGCAGCTATGACATACAACTATCTACTGGGGCTTTGGGGGACAAACGGAGGAGGATTGGCAATAGATGTTAGCTCAGAGCCCGTCTTCCTCAGCAAAAAGAGGAGGATCAGCACGGATGTTAGCTCAGGGCTGATCTTCCTCACCAAAAAAAAAAAAAAAAATTGTTCTGGAGCTTCCCCCCCCTCACCCGCCCCTTGCCCTCAGGACAGAGACCACATTCCTCAGTTAGGCCTCCACGTCCCTGTGTGATCTGTCTGCCCCTCTCTTCGGGCCATCGTTGCCTCCCTCTGGCTCACTGGCACTCTTGGGGTTTCTGAACCAGCCAGGCTTCTTCCCATCTCAGGACCTAGGTATATACACCCCCCTCCCCCTGGAACAGGGGTCTGCAAACGAAGGTCCCCGTACGCCAGATCTGGCCAGCTACTTGTATTTGTAAATTCACTTTTATAGGAACACAGCCCATTCATTGGCAGGTTGTTTATGGCTGCTTTCAAACTATTAAGAGCAGAGTTGAGTTCAGCAGTTGCGACTGAGATTGCCTGGCCTGCAAAGCCTAAAGTATTCACTATCCAGCCCTTTGCAGAACAAGTTTGCCTACCCCTGGCCTGGAAGGTTCTTCCCTACCTCACTTGCCTGGTTGACTCCCTCTCATTCTTCATGTCCGGGCTTCAACGTCTACGACTCTTTTTTCTAAGAGCAGTTTTGGTGTAACACTCTCTTATAGCATCCTATACTTACCCTTCACTGTACTTCTCAAAACTGTAATTGAATCAGCTCTTTGAGACCTACCTTCCCTACTGTGAACTCCATGAAGCTGGGACCATGTGGGCTTATGTATAAAACCTGGCACCTATTAAGTGCTCAAAACAATATTTGTGGAGTAAATGAATGACAACAGCTATTTAAATCACTGGAGAAAAACCCAAATGCCAGAAGATTTGGGCTCCTTCGGTGTGGCTCCTTCCATAATCTGACCAACACCGTGAAGCGATACCTCTGCATCCCTGCTCCTCATGCTCGCCGCCAATTCACTTTCAAGGGCGTCGATGAATTCTTGGTTCCTTCTGTTGTGCCTGCTGATGTCCTGTATGAACTGGGCCTTATCTCTAGCTTCCATGGGACTGGTGAGAAGCTTCTCGAACAGGAAGCCCCGGAGTTCTAGCAGGCTATCGATGAAATTCTGGGCTTCTGCACTTCTGCCCGGCGTCTGCGTCTGCAAGAGCTTGGCAGCCTGGGGGTTACTGAGCAAGAGCCTCAGGATGTTCTTGGTGGATTCTTTGATCTGGTGCATCAGCGGCGGGAGGGTGGATTTCTGCAGCTCTATGGAGAGGAGGCGCTCTCGGTCCCAACTTTCTTCCTTAAACTCCTTCTCCTCCTGCAACTGCCTTTCTTTGTCCCGCAGGTCACTCATGTTGTCCAGGAGGACCCGGCAGAGGTCCTCATGCTCTCTCACCACCTGCGTGATGTTCTCTCCCAGCATCCCCTCCAGATCCCTGTCATTGGAGGCCACGTGTGACAGCAGCGTCACCAACTGCACCTTGTGGATGGTCTCGTCCAGTACGGACATGATCCGCTGGGTCTCAATGGTGGTGAGTTTGGTCTTAGAGGGGACCAAGGGGTTTGGTGAGGAGGCTGGCTTTTTGGATGGCTCTGTCATCAGCCTTATTCTGTTGATGTCGGGGCCTTGGTAGAGAGGGGCCACGGCGAGCACGTCTAAAGCCATTTTATAAGCAGCTCTGCTTGTCTTTGCACGCCTTGAGAGATGGAGACTGGATGGGTCTCCTGCTTTTATTATCCCTAGAAACCCTGAAAAAGGAAGGAGTAAGCAGTTAGTAGAGCTGTGCTGACATGGGTACGGCTGGTGTGGCCACAGCAGCCATCAACTTGACACTGAGAGCTCATCTTGAGTGCTCTGCAGCTTTCACACACAACCTCTCACTGGAAGTAGTTTTTAACTTTACGACAGTGTCGGGGCCACAAGGGCAGGAGGACCACTGCAGAGGTGGGTCCCTGGCACATGCGTCAGGCAGGGACCAACCAGGAAGGTAGACATCATTCTAAGTGTTTACATTTTAAAGGACCAGTTACACGGGTGATGGAAGAGTTGAGAGCCAACGAGGGGAAGGTGAAGCCACCCAGCAGTTGTCGGTGGCAGGAAGCCACCACAGGAGGAGGAAGTGGTGAGCTTGGGGATCCGGGTCACCCAGGGGAAGCTGGAATCACAGCCATTTCCTGTCCAGGAGGAGCCAGAGCCCCAGAGGAGTTGCAGCCACTGCTAGAAACGCAGCCCAAAGCAGAGAGACGGGGAGAAATACTCTCGTTTTTCCCTTCCTCTCACCCTCCGACCTCACACCAGTGCCTCCCACTGGCCAAACCCAACGGGAAACCAGCTGACAAGGGGGCCTGGGCAGTGCAGGCTGAGGGGGTCAGCAGCCTGAGACACAGAGCAGAACAGGAACAGGGCAGGGCCGGCCCCGTGGCTTGGTGGTTAAGTGTGCACGCTCCGCTGCTGGCGGCCCGGGTTCGGATCCGGGGCGCGCACCGTCGCACCGCTTCTCCGGCCATGCTGAGGCCGCGTCCCACGTACAGCAACTAGAAGGATGTGCAGCTATGACATACAACTATCTGCTGGGGCTTTGAGGGGAAAAATAAATAAATTATAAAAAAAAAAAAAAAAAAGGAACAGGAACAGGGCAAACCGGGGAGCTGAGAGCAAACAGCACTAGGACCAGCCCAGCACATGTGCACTGACTTTTAAGTATGGATTTAAAAATCGGAGTGGGGATGAATAATGACTTCGAAATACAGTTTTTAAAATGAATACAGTTTTTAAAAACTGTTTTGCTACGTGCAATGCTGTATCCTGGATTGGATCCTGGAACAGAAAAAGGACATTATTAGGGAAACTGGTCAAAACCAAATCAAGGGCCGGCCCCGTGGCTTAGTGGTTAAGTGTGCACGCTCCGCTGCTGGTGGCCCGGGTTCGGATCCCTGGCGCGCACCGACGCACCGCTTCTCTGGCCATGCTGAGGCTGCGTCCCACATACAGCAACTAGAAGGATGTGCAACTATGACATACAACTATCTACTGGGGCTTTGGGGGAAAAAATAAATAAATAAAATTTAAAAAACCAAATCAAGTCGACAGTTTAGTTAATAGCACTGTACCAATGTTAATTTCTTAGTTTTGACAAACATATCAAGGTTATGTAAGATGTTAACATTGGGGGAGCTGACCGAAGGGCAGATGGGAGTTCTGTACTATCTTCACAACTTTTCTGTAAATCTACAATTATTACAAAATAAAAGGCTTATTTAGAAGATTGTTTCAGAAAAATTTACGGCAGCAACCAGAAATCAATCATTTTATTTACATCGCCTACATGGCACAATAGCTAAGAGGACCAGCTTTGGAGCAGCCCCACTGGGGTTCAGATCCTTGCTGGGGACCCGGGGCTGGTTCTCTAATTCCCCTAAGCTGGGCTTCCTTGGCCATAAGACAGGGATCCTCAGATTCGATGGGAAATTTCTGGCACAGGGCCTGGACTCTGCGAGTGCTCAATAAATAACAACTAATATTATTAGCTCAGAGAAATCGAAACCCCAAGACTAGGACTTCAGTGATTTCCCATTCTGAGACTCCGGGCCGGCTGGAGACCTAACGAACCCTACTGCTCAATGTACCGTGTCTAAGATGGACCCCCCCACATCCCCACCCCTCACCCTGTTCCTTCTTGATCTCTTGTCTGGATGATGGGTGATTCTGCCATGCTAGTTGCTCAAGCCAGAAACCTGTGTGCCACCCCGTACTCTTCCTTGCCCCCCACATCCAATATGGCACCCAGCTCTCTCAGTGTTCTCTCCTCGAGAGCTCCCGCTCCATTCCCTTCTCCGCAGCCCCTCTGCCCCTGAGTAAGGGCCTTCCAGTCTCTCCCTGGATGATTAAACGGCTTCTTAACTGGTCTGCTCGCACCTGCTCCTGATCCCCGCAATAAAGATCATCCCTGTAGTCATCTGTTCGGGTATTTATTGAGCCCCTGGGGATATAAAAGAGATGCAAGGGCTGGTTCCTGTCCTCCCAGAGTTTATAAACTAGTTTGAGATATGAAATATGCACACATGTAGGTTCGGTCACTATGGAAGGAAGGAGATAAAGGTGTGTTTGTTCACAGACAGATCAAGATGATGACCAGCCTTCAACACCAGAGTGGGGACCTTGGAGTTTATCTTGTAGGAAATTGGGATCCATTTTGATTTCATGAAAAGTGTAACAGGATAAAATCAGATTTTTGAGAAAAATCTGTTGTCAAGGATGATTTATAGTGAAAGGGCTGGTGGTAGGTAGATAGGTTGGAATATTATAAACCTTCCACCTCAGGGCCTTTGCACACACTGTTTCTTCTTCCTGAAACACTCTTCTCTCTCCTTCTTGCCAAGTTAATTCCTTACACTCAGATCTCAGTTCAAGTGTCACTTCCTCAGGGGAGCCCTTCCTGGGCTTCCAGGCTGGGTCAAATTCTCATAAGGCCACACTCCTTTGTGGCAGGCACCACCTCCCATCCCAACCCCCTTCCCTCTTGTTTGCTTATACTGTAGAGGCTGGAAATACTTAATGCTCACCTTCTCAGCCTCCACTCAGCCACAGCTAGGAGTGGCTATAGACACAGTTCAAGCCAATGAAACAGAGAGAGAAGTTTTCCAGGGGCTCCAGGAAAACTTATAACTTCCCGATGCAAAAGAAAGACATTGTTGGCTTCACTTCCATTCCCTGAACTTGGGCTTAATGCTGGAGCAGTGGCAGCCATTTTGTGAACAAGAAGAAAAAGTTAAGAGAATTACAGGAATGCTACCCCTGATGTCATTGAGCCACTGGACCTTCCAAGTGTCCATTATCTCTTACCAAGATGACTGTGATAACCTCTTCACTGGTCACCCTGCTTCTGCCCTCCTGCCCCACAGTCTCTTATCACAGCAGCCAGAGGAAGCCTTTTAAAATGTCAGATCCTTTCACTCCTCTGCTCAAAACCCAGCTCACAACAACTGATTGTTAAAATTTCAGGATATTTGTGAGCTGGTTGTTAAACCATTGGTAGCTTGAAATCAGCCATGGTGGGCATATTTACATCATGAAAATTGGCAAATACCACAAATCAGCACCCCTCCCAAACTGGTTGTTAAACATTTACTAGCACACCACCGCTACAATGCCTTCCCACCTCACCCAGAACAAAAGCCAGAGTCCTTACAATTACCTAGAAGGCCCTGCTATCACTCACTCTTCTGCACTTAAACTGACCCTTTCTGCTGTTCTTTGAATGTGTCAAATGTGCTCTGACCTCAGGGCCTTTGCACTTGCTGTCTCCCCTGTCTGGAACATTCTCTAAACACCTGCAGAGCTGTTCCCTCACTTCCTTCTCTGTTCAAATATCAGTGTAGCAGCGAGTGTTTTCCTGACCCCTTCATAAAATATAAACCCTCCGCTCCTCCCAGCCCGCCCCTTCCCTTATCCTGGTTTCTTTTTCTCCAGGTGAAGCATCCCATTGGACGTCTCTACAGGGGCCTGTTTATTTGTTTGTTGTCTGTCTTTCCCCTTCCCCCAAAAGTAGGCTCCAAGGAAGGTAGGAAGAAGGCTTTATCTGTTTTGATCCCTACTGCCTACCCAGCACTGGAAAAACCAGAACATCCTCTTGCGGAGAGATCTGCTGGACCACTTACAGGTTACCTGTGCCATTCTAATTTTCAGACTCTGCGGGTGTGAGAAATGTTTTGAAGACAGAACCATCAGGACTTGGTGAGCGAAAAAGAGTTTTGAGTTTGGGTGACTGGGAGACGAGGGCGGGGCCCTGAGGAACGGGGGTGGGGTGGTAGGGTGGGGAATGGGAAGAGGAAGTTAGGAAAGGAGGACAGAGAGCTCGGTTTCACACTCACTGAGCTCCAGCTCCCAGCGGACAGGATGTCTCGCCTTCCCGTGATTCATTTCCTCTCTGTCAGGGATGGCGCCCCGGGTGCCCTTTGAGGACTCATCCTCTCTCCCACGTGTGCAGTCTTGGTGGGCTCGCCCGTCAAAGAGCCCTGCTCTCTGCCTCCCAGGAACCCTGAAGAGGGACTCACGGATGGGAAGTGGTGGGGGCAGATTCACGCCGGTGGTCGGCTCCTGGAGATCCCGCTACCAAGATCCCCAGAACAGCCTTGGCTGCCGTCCTCTCCGAGGCCTGGCTCTGCAGCTTCTCCTTTGCCAAGTTGCTCGGCCAGGGTCAGTTTCTGTTGCTTGCACTCAGAGAACCCTAGCTGACAAAATAGTCTGGGCAACTGACAACACGAGACCAAGGGGGCTCCAGGGAGACCTTGGGGATGGAAACATAATTTCAAGGGAGAGGGAAGTGATATGGAAGCCACACAAGTTATCTTCAGTTCAGCAAACCAAAGAGTGAAGAGGGGGGAATCAGAGAGAAGAGGGGGGAATCAAAGAAACACATAGACTGACTAGGAACAAGGGAGAAAGGCAGCCAGATCAGGTGCCCAGGATGCTCTGTTCCTTGACCAGGCGACATGGATCCAAAATTAGAAGCTGCTGAGAGCTGAGGACTGAGGCGAGAAGGGCATTATCTTGCACCTCTTTGATTCCACCTACTTCCTGCTCCCCATCAATCTCCTGAGTTCCTTTAAGGCTTTTCCTGAAAATAACGTTTTAGGGACAGGCACGGAGCTTCCTCAGCCTCTCTGAGGATGAAGGATCTTTGCCCCACGGCCCCAGGATGAATGTGAACAATGTTTAATGAACACACTTCTCCCCATTGTCCCCC